AACATCGCAAACACCTAGTTTTGCTATTAAATTCAAGCTACGGCGTGAAATTAGGTGAAATGACCAAAATGCCCTTCAAGACAACGCCTCGGAATCGAATAATTTTCACATTTTCAGAACCCTCGTACTCTCACGAGTCTAACCATATAAAAATGTCCCAAATCGGAGGTCAAATGCTCACTCAAAACCCAATAGTTTGGCCTAAGAAGTTTTAACCAAATTCTTCAAATTTTAATCCCAAATTCGAATTTTAATGAAGGATTTAACTACAAAAGGATAAAATATAACTAGAAGGGATTAAAAAAATATTACCCAATGATCTTCACTTCATAACCCACTCAAAATCGCCCTCTCCCGAGCTCTCAATTGATTTTTGTAACTTATGAACTCAAACCCTCGAAATTTCTGTTTTTGCCCAGGGATATCCGCTTCTGCGGACAAGGGACCGCTTCTGCGGTCCCTCTTCTACGGAAACCAAGCCGCTTCTGCGGTGTTCATTAAAGGGAGCAGGGCCGCATCTGCGATAGCTGGGCCGCTTCTGCGGCTCCGCTTCTGCGATGCTTAAGCCGATTCTGCGGCTCCGCTTTTGCGGAAATGGCACCGCTTCTGTGGTTTCTGAGGAAAAAGGAGACAAGCCGCTTCTGCGGCCACACAGCCACTTCTGCGGCACCGCATCTGCGGTTCCCAAGCCGCAAATGCGAAAATACCGGAAGAGGGACATTCAATTGCTGTAATAACTTCAAAATTCATCCGTTAACTACCCGAAATCATCCCGAGGCCCCTAGGACCTCAACCAAAAGCACCAATACCACCTAATACCTTATTCAAACTTGTACAAATCTTAAAAACACCTAAAACAATACCGGAAACCCGAATTAATCAAGGATCCAAGCCTAAGAACTTCAAATTCCAACAAAACACGCTTTCGATCAAAAACCTACCCGAACCTCGTTCGAATGACCTGAAATTTTGCACACACATCCCAAATGACATGACAGAACTACTGTAACTTCCGGAATTCCAATTCGACCCTCGGATCAAAAACTCACTATCGGACCGGAAACTTATAAAATTCAAACTTCGGCATTTCAAGCCTAAATGAGCTACGGACTTCCAAAATACATTCCGAACACGCTCCCAACACCGAAATCACCTAACGGAGCTAACGGAACCATCGGATTTCCATTCCGAGATCGTCTTCACACTGTTCTGACTACGGACCACTTTTCAACACTTAAGCTCTCATTTAGGGACTAAGTGTCCCAAAGCTCTCCGAAACTCAACACCGAACGTCCCAGCAAACCAAAATAGTATAAATGAACTTAGGGGAAGCAGTTAATGGGGGATCGGGCGTAAATTCTTAAGACGACCGGCTGGGTCGTCACATAAATTCTAGTTGGAATCGAACTTAGGGCGAATCGTTCACAAGCCCCAATCACGACGAAATCAACGAATATATACTAGATACAAGTATTTTTATCTTCTCCAGTGTATAGAACCACAAAAGGACCCAGAACTATAGAATCAAAGCCAAATCTGTGAGGACCGAACTTGATATAAGTATAGGTCGGCTAGGGTTTGGTCTTCGAGGGAGAAGAGAGTAGGTGAGGGCGGTTGTGGAGAGATAAGTGGTCTCTATGGTTTGGTCATGGGGATATAAAGAGAAATGGGGATTTATTATGGGCCGTTGATCATTTAAGTTCAACGGCCAAGATCAACTAGAAAATGGGGCGGGTTAAACGAACGGGTCGCGACCGGGTTTAGAAGGGGTCATTTGGTTTGGGCTGGGGGTGTTGGGCTAATGTTTTGGGCCAAATGTTGGTCCGAAATTATCCCTATGTTGGGGCTGTAAATTAAATAACGAAATTTATTAAATTGTTTTATAAAAAATAATTAATAAATAATAAAAATATTACTTATGAAATAAAATTATTAAAAATAATAACTTAACATTATAAAAATATAAAAATACTATTTTAGCATGAATAACATAATAAATGTAATTATTAATAGAATATAGGCTATTATTGCAAAATTATGTAAATAGCTCAAAAAAATGCAAATATAATTATATGAAATGAAGTAAAAATAATATAAAACATATATGTAGGTGTACAATATTAAATCTGAATGATTAAGTCATCACAAAAATAATTTGAAGAGATGATTAATAAATATTTGAACAATTTAAATGCAAGAAAATCAATTTTAAAGCTTTAAAATTATGGAAAACTGTAGAGAATGCTTATCTGGCTCTTGTAAATTGAGGAATGATGAAAAACGATATTTTGAAAGTATATAGAATATTATATAAAATATGAGGGCAAAATTGGGTATCAACAGCTGCTCCTCTTTATCCGGGAATGATGAAAGAGTTGTCGGGTAAAGAAAATGATGACCAATTTTGTCCGAAATGAGTGGGGGGTGATGCATTTTTGAAAAATGGGGCTTGAACCCTGGTTCTTGAGTTACCTACATATCCCTGGTCTTACGGAAATCAAGCCATTTGTAGTTTTAGATCCAACGGCGAATGAAACTGATAGAGTTGTTATAAGAGTGGTCGTGTGTTTCGAAAAGGATCTTTTCGATGTGATAGCGTCGTGAGTAACGGATAATTTCAGGTGGATCTATGAATGCGGATTTGAACATTACGGATGTATAAGGCAAATATTGAGCGGTTACAGGGTAATCAATTGCTGATTGTCGGTTACGTTTAAGATGATCGAAGGATATGAACGTTGTGAACGGGAACCAGAGCGAGAATCGCTCCTATTTGTAGAACGGTTACCTCCCAAATTACATGCAAAACATAAAACACGATGCACGCGAATATATATATATATGGGGTTATTGAGAAATTTAAACATGATGCAAATTCCTTTCGGACCATGAGAGTTATCTTTGGACGATGAGGATGATGTCCTAAGACCATGACGTTCTGGGCCATGAAGCGTATGATAAGGGATTCACAGGACATGAAATGGTGTCCTTGGGCTATGAGGATGACACCTCTGGACTATGACACCTTTGAACAATAATATGCAATTTCGAGAGATCCTCAAGCCATGGAATGGTGTCTTCAGGCTATGAGGATGGTGCCTTCAGACAATGTGATGATGTTTCAGCCCATGAAATGCAAAAATGTGGCAATTTCAATAGTTTGATAGAGGGAACAGGTAGTGCTTAGTCATTCTCTAGAATGAGACAAGACAAGGCTTAGTCTTATATGAGACGAGGGCAGTGCTTAGCCCATTGTGAAGAAAGGAGATAATGCTTAGTCTTATGTAGTGTAGCGGAGACTGTGTTTAGTGTCATACAAGGGAAGGCAATTCTTAGGCTTATGCAATAATGGAGGCTGTGCTTAACCTCATGCGAAGAAAGGCAATGCTTAGCCTTATGCAATGGCGGAGGCAGTGTTTAACCTCGTGAGAGAAAGGGGACAGTGCTTAGTCCCATGCAGTGTAGCAGAGACAGTGTTAAGTCTCACGTAAGGGAAGGCATTGCTTAGTCTTAAGCAACAATGGAGGCACTGTTTAGCCTCATGCGAGGAATAGAGACAATGCTTAGTCTCATGCAATGAAAGGCAGTGCTTTGCCTTATGCAGTATGGAGGCAGTGCTTAGCCTCATGCAAGGAACGGAGACGGTGCTTAATCTCATGCAAGGAAAGGCAATGCTTTACCTTATACAGTATGGAGGCAGTGCAAGAAATGGAGACTTTGCTTTAGTCTCATGCAAGGAAAGGCAATGCTTAGCCTTATGCAATGATGATGGCAGTGTTTAGCCTCATGCAAGGGATGGAGACAATGCTTAGTCTCATGCAAGGGAAGGTAGTGCTTAGCTTTATGCAATATGGACGCAGTGCTTAGCCTTATACAAGGAAAAGCAATGCTTAGTCTTATGCAATGGTGAGGGCAGCGTTTAGCCTCATGCAAGGGATGGAGACAGTGCTTAGTCTCATGCAAAGGAAGGCAGTGCTTAGACTTATGCAATATGGAGGTAGTGCTTAGCCTTATGCAACAAATGGAGACAGTGCTTAGTCTTATACAAGGAAAGGCAATTCTTAGCCTTATGCAATGGAGAGGTCAGTGTTTAGCCCAATGCAAGGAGTGGAGACAATGCTTAGTCTCATACAAGGAAAGGCAGTGCTTAGCCTTATGTAGGAAGAGCGACAATAAAATGTGAGAAAGAAAAGTGAGTCTTAGCTTGACGTGTTTGGTTCCTTCTGTCAGTGTGAAGATAGTGATATTGTTGTATGTATGTGCTTGTAGACGTGTTTGTTATGTCCCTCGTGCCTGTGTTCAAAAAAAAATTGTGAGTTTGGGGGGGAGGGGGGAGGGGGGTTGGTTCGTTCGTTTGATTCTTTGTTTTGTCTTTGCTCCTTGTCTTGAAATCTTGTTTAAGTTACCTTGGGCAGCGTCTGGCTACTACAGTAAATGAAATTGTCAAAAATATACATTTGTGATAAATCATTATATAAAAATGCAGTTTGTTCAAAATGTTTGATGATGCATAAAGCAGGTAGTGTTATGATCGGAGACTGTGACACATTTTGAGACATTGCGACCTCCTCAGCTCAGAATTTTGAGGACCTTCCTCAAAATTCTACCCCAATTTAAATGCATACTTCTGGCATTACATTTCTTGGCAATCCTTGATGTGATAGCATTGACAAACTCGAGATCTTGCCCTAATATCTTACCGTAGAGGGAATGAGGATCTTATTATGATGTGACAGCGGTCATAAGGTTGCCTGGGTATCCCCTCTTAAATGGGAATCAGGTCAAGCGTAGTTCATGTTACATCAAATAGAAAGTGCAAACATAATCTTAAACATAATATCTCTTGACTGCATTCAAGTTGATAGGTTTTTGGCATATCTCTCCATCCATCTCTACAAGTATAAGTGCTCCTCCTATCAGTAGTCGATGAACCATGTAAGGGCCTTGCTAGTTGGGTGAGAATTTCCCCTTTGCTTCATCTTGATGTGGGAAGATTTGTTTCAGCACCATTGCCCCGGTGTGAATCGCCTCGATCTAATCCATTTGTTGAAAGCCATTGCTATTCTGTTATGGGAGAGTTGACCGTGACATGCCATATTCATTCTCTTGCCATCAATGAGAGCAAGTTGTTCATATCGGTTTCGTATCCATTCTGCGCCGCTGAGCTCGGATTCTTGTATGATTCTTAAGGAGGGAATCTCCACTTCGGCGCGAATAACGGCTTCAGTGTTGTAGACTAGTAGACAGGGAGTTGCCCTAGTTGATGTACGAACTGCGGTGCGATACCCGAGCAAAACAAACGGTAGCTTCTCGTGCCATTGTTTGTAGTTGTCTACCATTTTCCTCAATATCTTCTTGATGTTCTTATTGCCGGCTTCTACGACTCCATTCATTTGTGGCCTGTATGCTGTAGTATTCCGATGCTTGATCTTGAATGTTTCACACATATCTTTCATCAGGTCATTGTTGAGATTGGCGACATTGTCAGTAATGATTGACTTAGGTACTCCAAATCGACAAACACTACGATCCCGGACAAAATCTGCTACAACCTTCTTAATCACAGCCTTATAGGAAGCGCCTTCAACCCATTTTGTAAAGTAGTCTATAGCCACCAAAACATACATGTGTCCGTTTGAGGTAGCAGGTTCAATTGGTCCGATGACATCCATGCCCCAAGTAAAGAAAGGCTAGGGTAAACTCGTTACATTGAGTATGTTGGGCGGCACTCGATCATATCAGCATACATCTGGCATTGGTGACACTTCTGAACATATTTGATGCAGTCAGTCTCCATAGTCATCCAGAAATACCATGCTCTTAAAATCTTCTTGTCCCAAACAAAACCGTTCATGTGAGGTTCGCAAGTTCCGGCATATATTTTTTCGAGCAATCTAGATGCCTCCTTAGCATCGACACATCACAATAATCCCAAATCAGGAGTCCTTCTATACAGAATTCCTCCACTTTGAAGGAAATGGTTGGCCAATCTTTGAAGCGCGCGCTTCTGAGTGCATTCTCTAGGTATTCTCCCTTTTCCAAGTATTCCTTGATATCGTGGAACCATGGATTTCCGTCAAACTTTTCTTCAACATGAGAACAATAAGCTGACTGCTTATGAATTCCTATCAGGATATGATCAATGAAATTCTTGTCTGGATGTTGTATCATGGAAGACAAGGTGGCCAATTCTTGTCTGGATGTTGTATCTAGCCAAGACATATAAATAGGATCAGACTAAATTGAAAGGCACACAAGACACATATGAGGCAAGTTTATGCTTGTAATTCCAAAAAGAAAGTTTAAGAGTGACAGGATTGACCACCATAGGATAGTAAACAATTCCAAAGATTTTCAAAAATGAAGCATGATTCAGAATCAACCTATACAACCTTAGATCAGGGTCTAACAGAATCACAGACAAGAAACAAGCAAAGCACAACCTTCACATGAAAGTGTCTATCGAGAAAAACCTAATGAAAGGGACATCATAACAGAACAAGTTCATGATCAAGAAATTACTTAATTGAGTAGGGAAGACTTTAGCATGCTGAAAATCAGTCACAATATAAGAGGCATATCAGTTTCCAGAAGCAAGACAGGCAAGTATCAAACATGATACTAGTTGGGCACATATAGGAGGAGAGGCTAGTTATGAGATTTACTTTATAGCTCTCAATTAATACACAGAATCGAGCGAGTTGGAAGTACACTATAGAACCATAAATAGCATGGGGACATAGTCATAACTGACAGTGGAACCCCAGAAAGATAGCAGGTTAGGCATGGATGACTCAACAGGAATAAAATACTTTCTAGGCATGAATTGGTTGTCATAATAGTCCAGAATAATGCAGTTAGGAAAACTTAGGACTAACATTAGGTATCAACATACATGCAGTAAACAAAACAGGTTAAGAAAGGTAGAAATCGCCTATGTTAAATATGCAAATAGATATTCATAATAAAAAGTTAGGCCAGTTCAGATGCTAAAGGTATAGAATCATAAAAGGTATTCAGAGCAAGTAAGGTAACATAGTAGGATATTATTTCATAGAAGCTCCAGAGACATGTAAACACAAAAAACAAAGTATAAACGAAGGAGAATGAAATTTCTATGGACCAAAGAGACTTACCAGTTGCAGATGAACAAACAAGAAAGTAAGAAGAACAATTTCAGCAGTATCTCAATCGTTAGTGACAAAATAAGCAGTAGAACCCAAGAATCTCAGTGCGTCGGAGTTCTCAAGGGTTTCAAATGAACCCTGGGCAGTGCTCACATTGAGAAAGGTCCAATAAACAAATTCTGATGGCCCTGGCTTCCAGCCGGCCAAGAAAGTAAGTTTCAGAGTAGTAAAGGACAAGTGAGAGTGAGATAATAGCAGTAGTTGTTAAGGTATGTCTTAGAGGCATTTGGGGAAGGGTTTATATAGTGGTAGAAGTTGAACGAACAAACATAGAAGACAATTAATTAAACACATTAAGGAAAAAAAATATCTCATGCAATCAATGATAGAACCAGTAAAAGAATAATCGTATCCAAAACCCTAGTTGGAATCGAACTTAGGGCGAATAGTTCACAAGCCCCAAGCACGACGGAATCAACAAAGATATACTTGATATAAGAGAGATTTTTCTCTTCTCAAGTGTATAGAACCACAAATGCACCCAGAACCATAGAATCAAAGACAAATTTGTGCGAACTTGCCATAATTATAATTATAGCGAAAGCTACCATAAATGAATGATAGTAACAGAAAAGGTAAGTAGAATTTGCGTATGAACGCGTATGAGGAAGGGCGATGAGGTATCTTTTAGGTCGGATAGGGTTTGGTCTCTGAGCGAGAAGAGGGAAAGTGAGGGCGACTGTGGAGAGATAAGTGGTCTCTAGGGTTTGGTCATGGGGATATAAGGAGAAATGGATATTTGTTATGGGCTGTTGATCATTTAAGATCAACGGCCAAGATCGACTAGGAAAAGGGTCGGGTTAAATCAACGGGTCGCGACTGAGTTTAGAAGGGGTCATTTGGTTTGGGCTAGGGGTGTTAGGGCTAATGGTTTGGGCCAAATGTTGGTCCAAAATTATCCCTATGTTGGGGCTATAAATTAAATATACAAATTTAATTAAAACCTTTTATAAAAATAATTAATAAATAATAAAAATATTGCTTATACAATAAAATGATCAAAAATAATATCTTAACATTATAAAAATATAAAAATGCTATTTTAGCATGAATAATGTAATAAATATAATTATGGATAGAATATAGGCTATTATTGCAAAATTATGTAAATAGCTCAAAAAATGCAAATATAATTATATGAAATGAAGTAAAAATATTATAAAACATATATGCGAGTGTAAAATAATAAATTTTGGATCATTAAGTCATCACAAAATAATTTGAAGAGATGATTAATAAATATTTGAACAATTTAAATGCAAGAAAATCAATTTTAAAGCTTTAAAATTATAGAAAATGCTTATTGGTCTCTTGTAAATTGAGGAGTTATTCAAAAATGATATTTTTAAAGTATATAGAATATTTTATAAAATTTGAGGGCAAAATTGGGTATCAACATCATCCTCAAAACCAACCTCTTCAAGGCATAATTGATCCACAATCATGCCTCAGGCCGAAACTAATGTAGCACAGAACCATGCAACATGACCGTCGATAGCAGACTCCCCCACTTAGCTGAAAACCATAGAGCACAACATCTGATAACCCATAATACCGTACTCCATTACTGCCATGATCTCGCACTGTAATTTAACCAAATTCTTCATAAGCTCATGTACACAAATCATAAAATACCTCAAAATTATCTGCTAAGCTTACGTTCATCCTCGTGACAGTCAAGCCAACTTCCTCAAGAGATCCAAGCTTAAAGTATAACACATATAACCCACTGATAGAAAGAACTGTCTAGAAAAATATCATAAGAATGACACATCCGTAGACTATCCTGCAGGTGATAACCCACCTTCTTAGCCTCAAATTGGCATCTCTCTACACCCTAACATGGTCACAACTACCATGGGATCGCTTAATCTTCTCGAGTCTAAAATCGTTAACAAGACATAAGAGTCTACTCCAACCCATACATGAACAACACGAAAGATCTCAGAACACACTCATAACTCGAGACTGACACATTATGACAAAAATACGGAATCTATAGTCCTTTATGCCCCAAGCAAATCCTTCTCTTTACATCTAAACCATCTAAGCATAGACCTCAGTCATATAATACTCATTGTATAGCTATCCAACCACTCTTTGAGCCATCAATCCCACTCCTAGAGTAGCCGGGGAAGCTCCAATATCATTAGCTCTACCAGTTCCACAACTGCTCTGTCTGATCAGGGTGTGTGAAAAACGGTACTGGTATTAATGCAGTTGTTTGCCTCTCAGGTTTGGCGTCACTCGAGGGCCCCTGGTAGTGATAAAGCCCTTGAAGGGTAAGGAAATTCAGAACCTAAGGAGTTCGGAGAGCGGGAGCCATATATATTTTCAAGAGACGATTTTGATGAAGCTATGGGATGGACTAAGAGGGCCTGGAAACTAGTTGTCTCATTATGATGAAGCTACATAGAGTTTCCCCGACCATTGTATCATCAGCGCGGCCGGGCGCATGCCGTCCAATGTCAGGTAAGAAGGGCTGTTTGTTTTTTGTTTGGTGGCAAGAGCCACAGTATAAAAACGTGTCAAGCGATTAAGTGTAAAGACCAAGAAAAGACCGGAGATAGAGCGGGCTTCAGAGATTACTTTCTGAGTATAGATACATGGCCCAATTTTCTTTTATAATTTTCATTCTGACTAGTAGAATATTACCCGACAGAGCAGGGAAGCTTAGATGGATAGTTTCTGACACTTATGGATAAATCATTGTATATGAAAATATAGTAAAGATAGACGATAAGTGCAGCATATGAAAGATATCATCGAGGAGGTTCTACTGCTCACGGGTTATCAGATAGCAAAGCAATACTAGACGACTAAAGAATGAGGCCAGTTAGAGTACGGGAAGTCGAGAATCAAGGATGTTTTGTTGAAATTACTTCGAAGGAAACAAGAAGTGGAGTGTTGTGAGATGTTTTTACAAAACCGAATAGAGTAATATGAGTGAATAGGGAAGACTATTAAGGGACGTAAGTTAAAGTATGGAAGTACAATAAGATTCGTAGGCTAGTAAGCTCTAAGGTTATAAAGCAGTATGGGGCATGTTTCCATTAAAAAAGTGGATTAGTAATTCTAACAGGGATTATCATAAGGTCAATTTAACCATACAAATGCGAGGTGCCGATATCGGAGGATGACTTAGTATGAACTAGAACTAAGGTACCAATTAGAGATTCAAAGGACTCTCACACTAGCTAGAATTGCAATGATAGAATGAGTGAATGAGCAGAAGAAGGAAGAGAATTAGTGGGGAAAAAACCCTAAATGAAATTTATAAAGATCTCTTTGATAAACCACGTGAACTAAAGTTAAACTTGTCGAAAGAAGGCATTCTAGGAAGAATGTATGACTCGCTATATATATGGACCCCTATAAATTGTCTTAGAGGAAGAAAGGTTACCCATAGGTCAATCGTAAGCTACCAGGAATATGGACCTACGGAAGGCGGAAAGACGAGTAGGACTTCAAGTGTGAAACATTGA